CAAGAACCATTAAAGAAACCTCCAAAATATTGGAAGGCTAGGCTTTACTTATTTACACCTAGCTGGAATGGAATAAAGCAAAGTCTCTATGTTTCATTACAAAAGACTTTGCTCTCTTATTAACGAAAAGAATATGCCAAAACAGGCTAATCATCAAGTTGAATTACATGGATGTGTTTGGTGGAGATTACGACTTCTTTATAATTTATGAATAATTATAGAAATATATATATATATATTATTTAAAAATTGAAGAAAAGTATCTTTAGATTTCACTTGCGCAGTGCTTTTAGATCATGAATTCTGATAAAAATTTAAAAGAAAATATGGGGAAAATAAGTAATTTACACTACATTTACATTCTCCTCACTTTTTATTTTTTCCTTTTTAAATACTCAAATTGATGATCAAAATATAACTTTAGAACTTATCAGCTTTGAGCTTAAAATAAATTACAATTGTAATTGTAATAAATATACCTTAATCCAAGCATATCTACATACTAATCTTGTCCAATTAATATGATTTATTCCAATAAATTCTACATTAGTGAGCTGATTTCTGTAATCTTTTGTCAATTATATAGACATGACATGTGGTCAAACAACAATATCCCAATTTACACAGCTTCTTTACCTAACTTGGCGGGGGAAGTTAATAAACATAATTGGTATACTTAACTTGTGCAATTATTATAGTCTCACCAGAATATGTTGTAAATAAACTTTAATAATACTCTAATTAGATGTATCAAAATACATTACTATATAAACACCTTTAGAATAAATATATAAAACACAATCTAATGTCTCTAAACTTTAATATAATATTAATTAATTATATATAGACAATAATTATAATCTCATAATAATAGACTGCAAATTACTTCTAACAACATTTTCGGATATTCTAAAATGTATCCCTATATAAATATCTTTGGGTTAAATACATAAGATACATTCTAACGCCTATAAATAAGTTAACTAGCAAGAATGATTTATCAAAAAATTCTTTTTGAAAAATCGAGGTCCGATATTCTGTTTCTACAGTTAAACAGAATATCAAAAAGTAGAAAGCTCTTCTTTGAAAAATTGAAATAGAGAGAGAGAGAACCAAATTTCAAAATTGATCTATGAGATTCTAATGCTTTGGAATTTTTGGATAGATTGAATGGCTTGATCGCAGATCTATTTATAACCCTGGATGCACTCGATCGGAAGGATCATGATCTTTGGTCGCGCATGATCAGATCTAACCGGTAGATCAAGTTCTGACGGTCTGGATCTAGTCCTAGCCAAATGGGTAACCATGATGAGACACACCTAATAGCGAGTGGATGCAATCTGTACCGCATGATCGTGCGGATAGAAGATCAACGGTCACGATTGAATTGATTGTGAATGGACACAACCATTTGGTTGGTTGTGCCACCTACCACATGTGCATTATAGACTTGCCACGTCATTGCCACCAAACTTTCTAGAGCAAATAGGAAAGCGCCCTAATTGCACCTTGCGCCGATGCATTCGTGCAAAGTGTGTGAACATACGCTCTAGCACCTTTTTCACATTTCATTATTCAAAAGAGTATTCCATGTAGATATTTATTAAGCCATCTCTTTTCGATATGAAATAAATCACAAAGCTAAAAGAGCTTTCTAAAGAACAAGGAAGGTTTTGAAAAAAAAAAAAAAAAACATTTTATTTAAAAAAAATCCCCAACAGGCTACATCTTTATTTTCAATAAACCTTTCAAAACGAAGCCCTTTGAAACGTCAAGAGTAATCTTTATCAATGGTCATTCGACAATCAAACTAGTAAAGAGTTTTTTTCTTAATTTAAAATTAGTAAAGAGTTTAAAAGTAAAGATAATAGAGATTAAAGTTTAAAAAGATAAATAATGTCAGGGTGTACCTCAATCACCCTCAACACTTTCAATTAAACCTAAACAACCATACATGATATTACCAAGAAACAAGAAACCATTAAAGAAACCTCCAAAATATTAGAAGGTTAGGCTTTATTTATTTACACCTACATGGAATGGAATAAAATAAAGTCTCCATGTTTGATTACAAATGACTTTGCTCTCTTATTAAAGAAAAGAATATGACAAAAAAGATTGATTATCAAGTTGAATTATATGGGTGTTTGGTGGGGATTGCAACTTCTTTATAATTTATGAATAATTTAAATATTATAGAAATATATATATATATATATATATATTATTCAAAACTAAAGACAAGTATCTTTAGATTTCATCTGTGCAGTGCTTTTGGATTATGAATTCAGATAGAAATTTGAAAATTTAAAAGAAAATAGGAAGAAAAAAGAAGTGACTTGCATTACATTCAAATTCTTCTCACTTTTTAATTTTTAATTTTTTTTTTTTTAAATACTCAAATTCATGATCCAAATACAACCTTAAAACTTACCATCTTTGAACTTAAAATAAATTACAATTGCAATAAAAAATACCTTAATCTAAGCATATCTACATACCAGTCTTGTCTAAATAATATGATTTATTCCAATAAATTCTACATTAGTGGGATGATTTCTGTAATCTTTTGTCAATTATATAGACATGACATGTGGTCAAACAACAATATGCAAATTTACACAGCTTCCATACCTAACTTGTGTTTTTTTGTAAATTTTATTTAAATAAACAAATTAATTTTAAACATACTTTACAAACTATATATTCAAGTGTTGTTTGGCATTGTCAATCACACCTTTAAATTTTCCTGTCATTTCTACAAAAAATAATGCTAATCTCATATTTTAACAAAAAGTTATGATTGGAAACCATTTCTTTTCCAACTTAAATATTAGCAAACTTTTGCCTAAAGTTAAGAAATAAAATCTATTTTAATTAATTTAGAATGTAAATTTAAACATACCTTGTTCAATTGTATGTTGAACTACTTTTTTTTATTATTATTATTTTTGCATGGGAGGCTGAATCCCATATCCAAATATCTCTCATATTCAAGTGTTTTTTTTTTTGTATTTTAAACACACGCGGATGAGATTTTATATATTCAAGATATATTCAAGTGTTTTTTTTTTTTTTTGCTCCTCGTTCTTTGATCTTTATCACAACGATTTAATTGATATTATTGTCTTATTTTTGCTTTACAAGACTGAATCAGTGGATAATAGATATGTATCCATTTCTAAAGGTGTAATTTAATTTGTTTAAATTTTTGTAAAATCTTGCTTTCTATGTACTCATTGAATAGAATGCTTTGATATGTGAATGTCAATTTTTATTTTATTTTTTATTTTTTTAATCTTATGGTTGGATGATAAATTTAATTTTTGTGAATTTTTAGCTATCAAATTAAATGGTTATAAAATGTTTTTTAAACTGACTTTTAGTGACGAAAATATACAGCAACGAGTCATTTATCCCTTTGCGACCAAAAATAATTGTTGTTAAAAATATCACTATTTTGTATTTCGCAATCAAATTGAGACATTTTGAGACAAAATATTAGCAACCAAATATTTTAGTTCTTCAAAATCAAACATTTTGTGGCAGTATAAACTTGGTCGCCAATTTTCACTTTTAGCAACGCTTTGAAAATTGATCGCTAAAAATCAAAATAATCAAAGACCAAAATAATAATTTTAAGGACTAAAGTAATTAATCGTTAAAAGTCTTATTTGTTGTAGTGTGTCTGAAAGGCTTTTTTTACCACACAAGGAGTCTCTTTGGCATAATAATGTGGTGGAGAAAACCTTGCAACAAGAAATCTAAATGTATCTTTCTATCACATGATAAATCTCTTTGACGTGATCGTCTAGTTGAAAAATGATCAACGAAAGCATTACTATCATGAATCCTCCATTAAAAATTTGGCTTTGTACTATCTGCCCCCAAAGCTAAAGCCCACATATAATGTGAGGTAGGGAGAGAGAGTTGCACAAATCCAATCCATGTACCTGCTGTGAATATCTATTTAGCCGAACTTGAGTATAACTCAACTAATTGTACCATTACTAGAGAGGGATTTTGGATTCGAATTTAGGAAATATCGTTGAATGTTCAATTATACTAACCAAACTTACTAAGTAGGTGTTTGGCATGCACTAAAAAAATATTTTTTTTTTACATACATATACTTATTTAGGTCACATCAACCAACATCTATCAACATCTCTTCTCTACTTTTCTATCTACTTTTTCTACTTTTCTACACTTATTTATAAAAAGTCAAAAAATACACTTATTTGAAACATCTCAAACCACCCCTAAGCCAACCTTTCGAAGCACAACATTAAAATTTTATATGTAATAAGTTGAAGAGAAACATGATGATCACCCTGTAGAGGAGGGTTATTATGCAACGAAACAATAGCAATACTAAGAACACATAATGATTCATAAAAAATATAATAGAAGGTTGGGATTAAACCAAGTTATAGAGGGATGAACATTCAAAACAGTAATCATTATATTTTTGTGACACATTCTATATTTTAATTCGATAATAGAATGAGTGAAGAAACAATAGACACAGCCACAGGTTGGGCTACCCACCATCTCAATATAATCATTGACCCAACTATGGATCAAAAGATAAAAATTTACTTTCTGTCATTTCAATGTTTCCCTCTTCAATTAGGTGTTTCTCAATCCATTGATATATATCCCTACTATGGTTTTGGCAACCTGTTGGGCTATAAAATAGCAGAAGCCACACATTGTATTACACTGTTTAGTAGCTAATTATCCAGAATAAGATAAAAGATATAATCTAACTGCACTCACTCAAAAAAGAATGTTCTTATCCCAACAGATTAATTTTGTTTGGTATGTTTTTCTTGTTTTCAGAATAAAATAATAATAAAAAGTTTGAAAACATCCATCGTTTCCTCCATTTGTGCAAAAACAGCTTTCGAAAATTTAAAAGCTAATTTTTAGTGTTTCTTTACTAAAAACAAGTTTTCTATATTTTTCGAAATATGAAAACAGAAAAATGAAAATGATACCAAACAGATTTAAAGTATATTCCATAGAAAATGTACTAGTTGAATTGCAATATTTTCTCTCATGTATACAACAAATTTCAAAAGTACCACCAAGAAAACATAAACTGGTACATCCCACTGATATTGCAAATGCACGAGTGTCTCTACTTACAGAAAATAAATGAAAGGCAGCATTGAAAAATACCCAATGACGAACTTTATAATGAAGATGCTGAGAATACTAGTCAGGGTGCTAAACGATCAATTTTCCATACTCTTTTTCCGTCAATCATTTCAGGGGAATATCGGATCCTGTCAAAGGAATGAAATTGAATATTACCAGGGGTATTCACCATCATGTACAGAAACAATAGTTACCTGAGGTCTGTTCCCAGGTGCAAACTTCAATTAGCATGAAACTCAAATTATAAATTATAATTATATAACAGTTTCGTATCTCGGCCATTACACTTTCAGAACGATAAAGAAACACAATATTAAAAAACACACGGATCTTAAAAAGATAGAAGGTTTTCCATAGTTGAAACATTTGCATTCCATTTGGGAAGGAAAAGAATTAAATTTTGAGTAATCTAATCAGCATAGTAATTGTTTTAGAGGCTCAATTGAAGTGTTTATTTTTTTATTTTAACCAGGTCCTAAACAATAAAACATACACATTTAGAATTTTCAATTCAGTGTTCCTAAATTGTCAAGATTCTTCACGAGATTCCAAACTTCTTGGAGTCCATTTGGACATTGTTTTCTAAGTTTTCCATTAACTTTCTCAATTATTTCAAAAATTTGATACCATCTCCTGCATTTAGTATGAAACTCTTACAAAACAGTCTGGTATCTCGACCATTACACTTTTGAGAATGATAAACAACACAATCTTAAATTACTTGCAAATCTTTAAAAGATATAAGGTTTTCCAACATTGAAACATTTTCATTCCATTTGGAAAATCAATGAGAATTAAATTTTGAGTAATCAAATTAGCAAAGTAATTGGGTTAATAGTTTTTTTTTTTTTTTCCTTTTTACCAGGTTCTAAACAATAAAATATATTTTGACTTTGAAGTTTCTTCCTAAACTTTCTCAGGGACCAAATAGAGAAAATTTCATAATGTCAAAATTCTTCTCAAGTTTCCGAACTTCTTTTGAGTACATCTCATATTCTTCTCAATCAATCCCGTGGTTGTTTCTTGTTAGTCTATTTTGTTCCCAAACTGAAGGCCATCAACAAGGCGAAAGCCTGTGTAACATTAAAGAGGAATATATTCCAGAACCCATGTGATTTGGGGATTCCATAAATTTCTTTGCACAGATTAGTACTAGGATGTCAACAATGATCTAGATTTATGACATGTACACATGCATAAGCTCAGATCCAAGATTGTCAAAGAACTTGAGCTAAAGTTGGGCCACAACAAAACCCAGAAAACACCAATGTTTAGCAACATTTAAACACAAACAGCACATACCACTGTTTTGCAACATTTAAATGGTGATTTTAGAAACAAACGATACACTACAGACAATGATGACAACATCAATGATACCATCGGATGCATTACTAGCCAACAATCCACATCAACCTTGAATTGTTTTAGAATCCTAAAAACAAGGATAGAACAAACACGGTTTATATATAAACCAGCTAACAGTGAATTTCAGACTGGTTCCTTTTTATGCGCAAAAACCAATCATATGAAATTTTAGAAAGAGGAAACGAATATAAAAGTACCTATCATGCAAGCGTGATTTCTGTCCTTGCCAAAACTCAAAAGCCACTGGTTTAAGCCTGTATCCTCCCCAGTGTTTGGGTTTGGGGATCAAACTACTGCAGATTAAAAAATAAAATATTAGAATTTCTTGCATGGTATTGGAGCCAGTTCAGAATGACAAAGAAAATGCAGTAGTCATCATAGAAGATAATGATTCAGAAGTGAACCACTCAATGATTTTCAATCAAATGGCAGAATATAATACCTATACACGCATCCTCATGTGCACACACACACATACAAGGTGCCATTGCTTAGTGTCACAGTAGAAGCTTGGGTTGGCAAGCATGAAAATGCAGGTTTTCATGTATGCGTGTCTGTATATGTATATGTATATGTAGAGAGAGAGCGAGAGAGGCAGCTATGTGTAAATAATGCAGACAAAGATTGCAACCCTAAAACCCTCATTCAAATATAATATTTTATTCAGCTGGTAATTGTGGAAACAGACAAACACACCACACCACACCTTACACACATATCAACACACAGAAAGATGTTTATAGTTAATACTTCGTTCAGATGGTAATCACAGAAACTGGATTTGGGATGGATATTCAAAATCTCAGCAGAGGTTTAACAGCATGTTAACACACCAGATTCAACAAAGTAGATTCACAAGACAAGCAAAATTACAGCTCACTGACCCATCAGAGAATTTTTCCTCTAATTCTTCGTATTCTTGGTGGAGAATATGCCGTCCAGGAATTACAGTGCTCTAGAGACAAATTGGTTAGGTTTAGTTTATGTAAACATCATATACTGTGCTCGGAAAAGGAGGTAGAGCAATAACAATTTGACTATAGTAATACAAACCTGCATACTAACTATTGCTCCAATTTGACTTCCTCGAGGACGGCTGTGGAAGTACCGCTCAGATTCTTCATCAGAAACTTTCTCCACAAATCCTTCCACTCTTACCTGAAAGCCACATTATTGTTTGTTTGGTTTTGTCCACAAACACGATTTGAAGAGGTATGCATTGTGCATTGTTATCATCATAAACATTAACACGACAATCAAAATATTTGATAATTGAAGATGTATGCTTTATTAGAACTACAATCTTTTACCGTGATGAAAGTAAACCTCATATTAGATTAGACTGTAGTTGGAAGCGTGACAACCACAAGCTAATGATTTTCAGTGTAGTACCATGTTCATATTTGTTAGTTTTAGATGGCTGATTTCCAATTGACAAACGCCCGAGTCTGAATTTTGGGGGTTTTCTTGTTTTGGAGTTGAGTCTTAGTTGAGCCCATCTTCTTACTTGGGTACCTGTTGGTGGAAGAAACTTCCCTTGACACGCCTGTTTTTTTATTTGCGTTCGATTTCTGCCCTACAGTCGCTCGAGCTCTGGTTTTCCTGCAAAGCCTGCTCGATAGAACTCGACAGTCACTCGAGCGCTGCAACTCCTGAGTTGGCCGCTTACTTCGAGCTCGACAGCTGCTCAAGCGCTGGCATTGCTGCATGTTTCATTCATCGTGCGCTCTACAGTCGCTCGAGCACTGGAACTCTTGTATTATACGCTTGCTTCGCGCTCTACAGGGGTTCGAGCACTGGTATTCCTGTAAAGCACGCTTGATAGGTGTTCAACAGCTGCTCGTGCACTGACGACTTGTACCTCGCACGTTTTTGAGCTTTTTGTGACTCTTTTGCCCCTTAACTATTTTTTGAACAAATTTGATCTCATCTTTTTGGTAGAGATTCAGGAATACAAGCTTAGATACATTTTCCCTCTTCTTGGGTGATTAAAGCTTGTGCTTCAAGAATCCATTGATGGGGTTTTCAATCTAGAGATGGGTTCATGATTTCTATCTTTATTTCTCTCTAGATTGATTGAAGATCGAAGCCATTGATTTGGAGATTGGAGCTCAAAACTTCATGGAGAATTTTGGATCAACAGTGCTTGAGTTTGCAAGACCGCTTTTGAGCGGAGATCTAGCTTCTTAGGTATAAGCTTGGGTGAGGTTTTGTAATTCCTATTTGAGTCTTATAATTGGTTGATTCATTGATCTAGTGAAATTTGGTGTTGGAACTTGGGATCGTGGTTTTCATCCTGTGAGATAATTGTCTCATAAGGTTTCCACGTAAATTGTGCGTCTCTTATGCTGTTTTATCATTGTCTATTGAGGAATTATGTGTGGATTTGGTTGATAATTATTGATTGTTCTTAATTTGATGTTTCAATATTGGAATCATTTAGAACCCCAAGCAGTTGGCCTGGTGGAAAGGGCTTAGGTCATGGGGGCGTGCCCCCTCTAAGGTTTAGAGATCGAAACCTCTTAGGTGCTAACAATTTCTTGGAGCCATCGGACTGGCAGAAAACTCTTAAATTAACCGTAGTGCACTTGCGAAAAACTCCTTGCCGAGGGGGGCCTGTGCACCCCTAGGATTAGTGGGGCTTTGATCCGGACACCCCAATGCCAATCAAAAAAAAAATATTGGAAACATTAGAACCGACGTCTCACTTGCAGTATTTTAAGCAGTTGCCAGAGTAAAAGGAAATTAGGTTGCATGTTCTTAATTAAGACCTCCTTAACCATAATTTCCCCTATTCTTTTTTGAGGGACTAAGCAGGTAGTGGAAGTATATTTGATTGTTGAGTACCCCATCTAGGGCATCATCTCCATGCCAGTGTCAGCCTCTTATTCATACTAACTATAAAATTAGATGGTTAGACACGCAAAGCAACATTTTACCCAATTTGTACACACCAGGAATCCTCTATAGAAGATCAAGGCTCATGGCATGTTGTCCAGATTATCCATTCACATTAAAGAGTTGAGTGGTTCATTCACAGTTGTTCAGTCCAATTATGTGTTCAAAGTGATTCTAAAATTAAAAAGAATTACTTAACCAACATTATCTATTCCAGAAAGGATTAAAATAGTAAACACACGTCATTACAATTCCATCAAGGAATTAAATAACATTTTGCTTTGCACAATGAACGGGAACATCAAAGCACCCTACTTACACACCCCTTCACTTCACAATAGTTTGATGGCATTGCAATGAAAAAAATGGTTTACCTGGCGATTTAGACCATCCCAGTAAAATAGCAGTGATGCATGAGGATTTTCAAATATTTCATGAGCCTTTCGGCTTTCATAGTTGGTGTACCTGCATAATGGCATAATAGATACGAAAATAGTGTGTTTGGTTTCAGTTTTCTGAAAACTGAGTTTTTTGTTTTTCGTGTTTTTTTATTTTTAGTGAATTTTTTTAAAATTTTAAGCAATTTTTTACTTTTTTAGATGCACATTATTTAGATGTATCCAAATAGTAAAATATTTGTGAAAACTTATTTTAAAAAATTAATAAATACACAAAAATACGAAAAATGTACTGAATTTTCGTATTTATTTTGCATTTTTTGGTCTTTAGTATATTTGTTAAAGATTTTTTTTACAAATATTATACTTTTTAAGTGTATTTATGTTAGGTGTGTTTAAATATTAAAAACAATTGCTTAAAATATTTAAAAAATTCATTGAAAACATTAAAATACAGAAAATAAAAATGTAGAATTTTCTAAAAACCAGAACCAAACTAAATTGTAATCATTACTATAAGAGTCAAAGCACAACACTAACCAGACTAAACCACCTTTATCAACTCCTTTTAGCAACACAATTCGTGATGAACTGCAGTAAAGAATAACATGATGTGTGGTCAATTTGCAATCGTCAATAAATTTTACTTAAAAAAAAGGCCAAATTATCCATCTAGAAATTCAAAATAATATTTAAGCAAAATAATTAAACAAAGAGCATATTTTTTTTTATCCATGGAGACAACTGATGCAATTGGGACAGTATATAAAAGATCATTTCTAGATACCTACTTACTATTTAACGTGGTAAGAATATGTCCATCCAAATGACATAACTTGGCAACTTTAAAAATTACTTTGGCATCAATGGAATAGAATGAGTTCTTGGAAAAGAATAATTGATAATCACGCTAATAGGAGCTTAGTGTTAAGTGGAGATTGCCTCATAGGCTGCTTGGCATCTGTCATTAGCTGAGTTTTGTTGACAGCCTGGGGTATGCCCCAGTTTGTTTGTGTGTTTTCTCTGTGTTAAATAAAGTTTGAATTACCACAAACAAACAAAAAAGGACATGGTGAATCTAACAAAACAAATATTTTATGATCACAAATCATATTTCAAGGAACAGGCAAAGATTAAATAAGCCTGAGATAAATTAAAAGAAAATAAGGAAACTCAGAAGATCCCATTTTGGAGAAAAATAAAATAGAACCCATTATCTATTGGAACAACATGAGTACTTCAGTTCGTCTTCTCCGAAGTGTCCATGCAACATGGAATACTATCAAGTATTAATGAACAAAGAAAACTAGCCAACGAGAGAAACTTACGGTTTCCCATTCTTTCCAGCAGTTGACAAAGCCATAGCATTTGGTTCCTTCAAGCCCGCAGCCACTGCATCATCAAACCATTTCTGGAACTGCAATATAACTAAAGCTTTTGTTATGACAGAATCAAGAGGTTTTGCCAACAGATTTTCACCAAATCACACTAGAAAGCTATTCTCAAATATTGTTTTAGCAATTTATATTTCAATATTGAAATTTCTTGCATATTAGTTATAGTAGTATTAAGAGTGGAAGTAATCAAAAGTTAGATTAATGACCAAACATTCATTTTGAATGAAAACATACCTGACCAAAGGGGTCAGCCTCCACTTGATCCTCAAGAAACTCAGGAGAAATATAGTTCTCTCTCAGAGCTGCTATGTCAATTTGCGGAGGCTTTCCAATTCGGACACACATAGAGGTGCCAGGATATGGTGGAAGTTGAAGCTTATAATTCTCTACAATTGATGGTGGAACAAATCTGCCACCTAGAAAGTGGTGTGGACCACAAAATTTCTTGGCACACAACTTCGGAGCTGTTAAAGAAACCTAGAAGAATATAAACTTGCATTCATAAAGGGCTTGTCTCAATGGGTAGAAATATAATTGTATGTATGGTAATCTAAAATGACAAGTGTTAACTCCAAAATGTCGAGTACATGGTATACCACAGGTTTCCATCAAAAGTATACCAGCATGTTGGGTTTAATGCCTTCTCCACTGATATCTCCTTCTTCAACATGCCACCCAGATGGAATATCTATGGAGACAACAGGTGATTCCTGATGCATTTGATCATGATTTTGAAGACGTACCAGCCTTTGGATCAGATCATCAAAAGGAGGCCTTGGGATACCTGAAGGATTTAGAGGTATAAATTTCAGAATATGAGATACCATACAGGATTAGAAAAAGAACCCCTAACTAAACGCACCTTCTTACCCATATATCACTTTACTTTTTCTAGACAATCTCTATAATGAACTAACCCAAAATATAAAAAGGATACACATAACCACCCCGAAAAGACGGGGGTTTCTAATCATTGAGTTGTTTATTTTTCGATATAACATGACCTTTCAAAGAAACTACAACTACAATAAAATGACTTGCTAAGAATCCATTTTCGGCCTAACTTCCAGCAGCTCAACAGAAGTGATTATTGCTTTCATTCTAGCCTATTTTCATACTTGCAATAGCATAGTCCCCATATGTTGACGACCAATATATGGTCATCTCAAAAACCTTTCCTTTTTGCAGAAATGCTGGATTCCTTTCTCAATTAAGTCAATCTAACACAGTAGAGAAAATGTTAACACAAATATGGGAAAACTAGTAATAATCACACTACAAATTAGAATGCATCAAGAAACACCAAGGAGTAGGTCCAAAACGGATCAAGAAAATTTTAACTAATAGAGATTGTTTGGAGTTAAACATTACACTGGGCCCCACTCAGAGGAAGTGAGCATGAGCTGAGGACTGTATAAGAAGTGGAATGTCACAATGAAAAGGATTAAGATCAAGGTTTTAAAAAGCGGCCGAAACCGTTACGTAACGGTTTTGGCGGTTACCGCCACCCGTTACGGCCGCTTTTGCAGTGTGATTGAAATTCACAGGTGTGTCGGCCGTAGCGGCTGCCGTAGCGGTCGTAACGGTGCCGTGACAGCCATAACGGCCTATTACGCACCGTTACGTAACGGTTCCAAACTGTTTCTTTCAAAAAAACACACAAAAAAAAGCTGAAAATGGGGGAAGAGGGATAGAGAGAAGAGGGAAGATAAAGAGAGGAAATAGAGGAGCGAGAGATAGAGAGAGAGAGAGAGAGAGAGAGAGAAGAGGGAAGATGAAGAACATGTTATTGATTTGTTGAAACTATAAGACCTATGCTATTCTATTCAACTGCTATCACTAAACCATTTTATTTGTGTGTGTCTATCTATAAATTGTTTGAAAATAATAATAAGTGTGGTCATTATCTATTTGGCTTGGTTAAAATATGTATATATATATAGACTCTTATTTATTTTCTTACTTTTGTCATTATTTATCTTATATATAATAGTTAATAATTAATTTTTTGTAAAATATAAAGTCATTAATTATTAAAATAAAATGTAAAAAACTCAGTTTATAGTGATTTAAAAATATAAAATATATTGGATCATACTTAAAAATTTACAAAAATTGATCAGTATTTATTTTTAACCCAATAAATATGATCATAGAAAAAAAATATGCGTATCGGTAAGTTTTTTTCAAATTGTGCAAAAAATAAAAAAATTCACGGTTCCGGTTACCGCAACCGTTACACTACGGCCTTTACACCCCGCAACCGCAACCGCGTCACCGCCACCGTTACGGCGACTGCAACCACTTTTCAGAACCTTGATTAAGATTAAGTTAATTTGAGCCTGTGACAACATAGGTGATCTTGAACTATGGTGAAGACATGTTTTAATGGACAGAAATAACAGAATGGGGCTCTAGTTGCTAATTATATCCCTACGGCAATACAAATGCCGTGAATTCTGTCCCAAAATACGCAATCAACAACATGTCAACAACCAAGAATAAAGCCATAATTTATATTCAGTTACATAAAAAAATTCTACAAAGGAACGCTATTCTTTTACATTAAACTTCAGAAAACATTGAAAGAGAGTAAACACACAAAAAGATGAGCACATAAATGACATGATAGTCGATTACACTCGCCATTGAACAAAAAAAGAAGACCAAGCAGATAATACATTAGAACTGGATCTCATTTCCTATGAATACAAACAATAGGCGTCAATCACTGTGGTGAGGCACAATTATCTCTGTCATGTAGGTTAGTCCATCAAGATTGTTCCAATAACTTGACCATCTTATTCATGAAGAGGTAGGTGAAGTCATAAAAGAACTTGTCAAAGTTTTATCTTCGTCTCATACAACAAAATATTTTTCTTTGGTTCAAATTCATAGTTGTCAAATCGGGATTCGTATCGTGAATCGAAATGACCTCGTACCGAATCGCGAATCGAATCGAATCGAATCGTGAATCGTAAAGATTCGTTCACTTTTTCTAAATTACTTACGAACATATATCTACATATTTATATGTTAAATATATCTTATAAATATGAAATATTTAGACTTAAATCAATGAAAATATTATTTTCAATGATAATCATGTAGTTTAATAGGTAAGAAATTAACAAAAGTTCCTATGTAAGATCATCATCTTACCTTTTTCTTTTTTAGATATTTCTTATCAACCATTCCTAATAAATATAATAACGAAATACACAAACTATCAATTTCTAAAGTAATAATAATTAACAACGATATTGATCTTTAGACAATAAGCATACGTACTTTTCTAAGTAACAATGAACAAATCATAAGAAAGAATTATTTAGAATCTTTTATTTTAAAACCTAAAACATTTCAAAAGGGAACTAACCTCACACATATAATATTCAATTTAATAAAATAGCAATAAATAATTCATAGTATAACTTTAATCTTAAACATCTTTAAAAGATATATTATAATTTTTTGAAGGAAAAAAAAATGAGAAGAAATGTTAAAAATATGTTAAGCTTGACTGAATCTGATTGGATTGGATCCTATTAAAAATTCCATGATCATTAAAATAACAACAAATCATGAGTATATGTTGGCTATTTTGGTACTGAACGCTATTAGAAGTTGTATTATGTCATTCTCACTAAAAAAATAAAAAATAAAATAGTCGAAAATATGTTGGACGCAATAATTTCAAAAATTGCATGAATTGTAAAAATTGAATTGAATCGTGAATCGATTATGAATCGTGCGATTCACTAGAGAATTACTTCCAAAATAGATTCACCCATAGATTTATATCGATTTTGCAAAAATTCCGAATCTAATTGTGAATCGAATCACGAATCGAATCGCAAATCATAAGATTCTGATAACAGAGTTCAAATTAGACATCAGCAAGGGGCATGGTTCAAAGTTTTGCTTCGGTGGCAAATTTCAGTAAACAAAAGTTTGGAAATAAGGAGAATCTTAGAACAAAACTTTTTCAATATCTCAAGAATACATTGAAGAGGTCACAAGAGTACAAGCCTACAACAAAATATAGTTTGATACAAAAGGAGAAAGAATTCACAATAGGTGATAACGGAGTCCAAGGAATCAAATAAAACAATAAGATAAGATAATACCATCAAAACAACATAGATGACGACTAGTGACTCTCATCGAGTATCAACATGTCTGATGACATCAAGATACAAATACGGCTTTGTGAATCAAAATAACTGTCATCAACAGCACATGAGCATAACTCTCTCTCTCTCTCTCCCTCTCTCTCTCTCACACACACACCCCCCTGCGCGCGCGCACACACAATGCAGGACAATTGAATGAAAAAATGCAACAACCAAACATTAAAAAGCAAGGCAACCCAAAAAAAGTTTACCTCTGCAATTGCTGTAGCAACACTCAAACCAGCCAATTCCTGAAAATAGAATAACACAAAGATTTGCATAAAATTGACTTCAACCCAATAATTCCTGATAAAACCAAGAACTGCATAGAAAAGTAGAACTTGGAAACAGAGCGGTGAAGAATAAAATTGAAGACTGACCATTAACTGATCGACACTGAAGCCAAGAGGACCCATGAGGATGTCATCGATCTGGGCTGCTTCCTTCTGCGACAGGTACGAAATAGATTCCGAAGATTGCAAGCACTGCAATGTCGAAACCTGTCTATTGGCCATTCCTCTCACTTCACCGTAGCTCGAACACAACCCACGAAATGCAGACCTCGAATATTGACCCAACAAACCCTAGAAATCACTTTGTAGTCATACTAGTCAGTTACAGCTACATATACATATAGATATATATATATATATAGAGAGAGAGAGAGAGAGAGGGGTACCGATTGAGGAATTGGAGAATGGAAAGAGAGAGAAGAATTGAAGAAATTGTTGGAGGTGTTGATGAAAGAAGAGCTAGAAGAGAGTAATTGAGAGAGAAGACATAGACATGTCATCGTTTTGCCTCTTCTTGTGCGTATCAGTGATCTCATTATTCTCTCTCGGTTATGGGCTTTCTTTCATGAATGTGATTCTATGCGTGTCTCGCTTGCTCACTTCTCTTCCCTGAAACGCATGGAGACATGATGTATGGTTTTGTTGGTACTTGGCACCATGTATTCCACACAACAATGGTAAAGATTAGGGAGTGTTTTTTTTTTAATATTCTAAAAAAAAAAACAGTTTAGAGAAATAATCTATTTTTCAAATCATTTGGAAAATTAATCTGTTTTTTGAAGTGACATTTTTAAAATGTGATTTTGAAATTAAAATTGAAATTAAAATTACATTTTTAACATACAATTTCATCTTGAAATCGCATGTTGATATGTTATCATAAATTACATTTTTATGTTGAAAATACAATTTCAATTTTAAAAGCGCATTTTCAAAATGTGATTTCAAAAGTAGGTTAATTTCTCAAATAATTTGAAAAGTGGATCGATTCTCTAAATTATTATTATTTTTTTTAGAATATTAAAAAAAAAACTCAAAGATTAGGCTACAAACATACCACATACATTTTTGTATACAGCTATACAACTATAAAATGGTATTATTTTATATTTTTTAAATTATAATTAAAAAAATAAAAAGAAAGTTATAATTAAAATTTTAAAATAATATTATAGTTAAAGAAGAAATTTGATAATAATTAAAGGGGAAAAAAAAACATAATTAAGAATGCTATAGTTTGAAATGTATATAATAAAATTTCCCTTTAACCACACTTTGCTTTTAAAATATGAAAAATCAAACTTTTAATCCACATCTCATAATCAGATCAGATTATGTGCACATACAAAAATTAGGAGTAATTTATAAAGAGCAATGTTGTTAGGATTAGGATACAAAATTTTACTAATCACTCATCTCTTATAGGTTCCACATGTCATGTAGGACCCACGCTTAACATTTTTAAATTATAAATTACACATCTTTTGTATTAATTTTATATCTCCTTTTACAAAAATGCAATTTTGTGTCCATTTGTTACAATATTTATTGCCTTATGTTTCGATTTGTCTTTCGTACGTAATAGATAGATTTGCCTCCGCTACGTAAGAGTGTTTTGAAAAGATAGTTAAAAGTTACTTTTTGACTTTTTTTAATTTTTTTGTGAGAGGGGGAAGTGGATTAACGACTCTTAACTCTTTTCAAAATAGGCCGTAGTTTCAATAGGTGGTGTTGAAGTGCCCAAAACGAGCAATCCCACCTCATTTTATTATATAAACTGTTTATAAAAAATAATCACACTCCTTGGTTTTAATTTCCAGATTTTATTTTTCAAAAAATTTTATTTTTTTATTTTTCGTATTTTTTTGTTTTTACTGAATTTTTTTAATATTTTAAGTAATTTTTTAAATTTTTAGATACACCTAATATAAATACACTTAAAAAATATAATTTTTATGAAAAAATTCACTAAATACCCAAAAAATTAAAAAAAAACGAAAATTTAGTATATTTTTCTTATTTTTGTGTATTTATTAATTTTTTAAAATATTTATTTTTTAAATACATCTAAATAAGGTACATCTAAAAAAGTAAAAAAATTATTTAAAATTTTAAAAATATTCACTAAAAATATAATATAAAAAAATCGAAAAACAAAAAAATTAATTTTCAAAAAATTGAAACCCATACTTTCATTATTAGAGACATACATAATCATGTGATCTTCTTCTAAACCACGTAACTTGAGCAAGTGCTATAATCAGAAAAGGCACATGTACAGTTCTAAAAATTATTCCATGACACATTGATAATAATAATACTACAAATATATTTGAAAATGGACAGTCCGGATCTGTTTATGCAATGAATAATTATTGCTCCTTTCACCCACTCGTAAAAAAAAATCTCTCCCTAACATAATTCATAGGATAAAAGATTGGTCTGGAAAATGATATGCTTTTTATTGAATGAAATGTTCGAATTTATCTTCCTTGTACAATGTACTTTTTCCTTCTTGTGATTTTTTAAATGTTGAGGATTCTGTCTTAAAATATTTTTCATCTCCATATCTTATTGATTCTCACACAATTTAATGATTGCAAGTGAAATCGAATTAGAAGAAAGAAATTCGAGACTGAGAAACCCAACCCCTTTTTCAAAACCTACTGTTGCATAGCCACTCCTAAATTTGGCATTTGGGAATCAAAACAACTATTTCACCTGCCAAGCATATGTATGGATGCTGCTATAAATGTACATTAGCCAATTTCTTTATTCTTTAAAATAATAAATAAATAAATAACAGGTGATTAGGTTAGTTTATGCACACCTTAACTAATTTTGGAACCAAAAAAATCAGGTATTGGGACTAGCTTACGCATATCTCAACTAATTCCAGGACCCTAAAGTTAACAGACGGACAAACTTTTAGTGGCCACTTGGAGGGACTCGAACTCAAAACCTTGAATCGTATCCTCTAAATCAACTACTTTTGTTCATTAGCCAATTTCATTGACATCTCATGCGTAGACTGCTAATTTTTTGCTGCGAGCAGAAGAGGAAATCAATAATGTGAAGAAAAGAAGGGGAAAAAAATCCAAATTCAGAAAGCCAGTGTCCAACATGGATAGACTGGATCGTATAACAAATTATAAAGTACATCCAAAAAATTTAAAATTTTCTTGCTTTGTTGGTCTTATTTGTGAAATGTCAAAACAAAATTACAATGTCAAAAAATACATCAGTTTGCTCCAATTATGTCAGCTAGTGGAGCCTTCTGTGAGCAAATATCTTATTCTTCCTTCCTGGCGACTGCCTCTTGAATCCGTTCGATGAAGCTCAACATGATTGGCAAACACTTATCATCTGAAAGAAATGTAGAGATGTAAGTAAGTCTGACAACAATTTACATATCCTATATACTGTTGCATAGAGATGAGAGAGAGAGAGAGAGAGAGAGAGAATGTGTACAGTGATTCAGAAAATTACCAATTCTAGGTATTGTGTGGCCCTTGGGATGATTAATCACCAAAGGATCAACAAATGAATCCAACAGTTCGATCCCATATTGCTTTAGGAAATCCGTTTCTCCTGCACCAAGCAGCAAATGACACGCGATGAAAAACAAAGAAATTATCTCAACATATTAACTATCAAGTTTGATATGCTTCATTCATGGTATTGAATATTTATTTCAAATTCAATCTTCATATCAGCAGTTAAAAGCAGCGAATTAGTCAATAGTTGTTGTGACTTGTAAAGTTTATTGAATTCCTCATCGAAATAGTGACTTTTTGCAACGGGTGCTGTCACAAAATAATTGGCAAAAACACTTTTTGCAAGTAGTGAAAAGAACAGAAAGGCTATAAAGTATCAAGAGGGGAAACAAATCAAATTTACAAATCTAAAGGGTAAAAAGCAACATTGGTGAGTAAAATTTCAGTAATGCAAGACTCTTTTGATGCTTGAACATTTCTTCTCAAATACTTTTGGTTAGAAAGTGAAAAGTAGCACAAGACAATTGACAAATCATGCTTCAAGATGAAATCAGCTCACATTTCTTACCAACCAAACAAAAAAAGATGCTTAATTACACCATTCAGGAGAAACCGTTTTCCACTAAAAATGCCCAAGGAGCTGTGTGTAACAACTTCAACAGAAATCATGAAGCATGCACTGCCAAAAAACTTGTTAGGACTCAAGTTCCTGACGATTCCCTAATGAAAATTTAAGACAAGTTTGCATCTGATTTAATACATTCCTTGGAAGATACATTTTCTCATCGTAAAAGTCAATAATTTTATGCCTCATAAATGGTGATTGTGTCTGCTTTACAGATACATGGCTTGTTAATTGAGAAATGTACCAAATGCATATGCAACAGGCCATATTTTGTGACACAAGAGTCCTGCTAATGAGGCCAACTCAACTTCCAAATACACCCTCTAAAATTATGTACTAATATAAGGTAATTTCAAACTTTGTAAAACAATTCTTTCAAAATGCAGTTACGTTGAAAAAGAAAGACTACTTCCCATGGGACACATAAATCAGTCAGTCAGTTGGCTTGCTTAGTCGGACTATTTTGACAATCACAACCTAATTTTATCCATAAAATTTTGAAAAACCTGGTAGGGCCTAAAGAGGGCTGTCCAGTTAAGAATTGTCTCTTTTATAGCTTTTTTCTAGAATTAACTCAACAACTAATTACACTAATTGAGCTCAGCTTCGTAGAAATATCAGTAAATGAAAGAGCATTACAGAGATAACATTATAGCATTTGTATATAGAAATGAATCAATGGAAATACCCAAGAAGTGGAGAGACGGGCATTGAATGGGAGACGAATATGCCTTCTCAGCCACTGATGGCTCCCGAAACTTTGCCCCTCCAACTATTATCAAAAACTTTATTTTGGGTACCTTTGTAAGAGCCACACCCTGTAAATGTAAACACCACCACAACAATCACACCCAACCACCATTCAAATCCCACATAATATAGAAATTTCTTCAGCCAAAAATATAAAAATCTGATCAAACAATGACTAGTGTTTTTTATTTCTGTTTTCATTTTCAGAAAACTTACAAAACTAGCCAATTCCGAACCCTTTTCATTTTTTAGAAACAAAATGTGAGTATTTTTGAACTTTTACTATTTTTGTTTTAGAAACACTACATAATCAAACAGACCCTAAGAGCCTATTTGGTTTTTTTTTTTTTTTTCGTTTTTTGTTTCCGTTTTTAGTATTTTCAATGACAAAACAATGAAAAGTTCTTTTTTCATATCATTTTCATTTTTGTGCAAAAATAGTCTTTCAAAATTCAAAACAATTTTTTATGTTACCTAAAAAAATAGATTGTTCTTAGAAAAGTTTCTCAAAAACTACTCAGTTTAAAAAATGAAATCGTTAAACAAGTTTTATGTGTTTTGTGCAAAATGAAAACAGAAAACCACAAATCAACCAAACAGATAAAGAGTCTTGAAGTACCTTGGCTTGCAGCCCCAGCAATGCAGCCGATAAAATCGCTCCCTGAATTGTTCATAAACACACCTCCACATCATTAAGCCATTGAAGGCAGAAAAAAGATAAAACAGTAAAATATGAAGAATTAAAAATGAAAACCTGAGAAAAGCCAAGAAGACCATCGATTGGTCCATACTTTATCATGCACTCCTCTATATATGCAAGACACTCATCAAAGTTCTTGTACTCCGTAAATTCCTGAACAAATTAAAATTAAAATGTTTTCAATTTCATATATCTACACATGAATATTTTGTCAAACACAAAATTTTAAAATTCCAAATCCTCAAACTCATGAACTAGTCTATCCACAACACTACGATTTTAGATTGAAGTCATATTTTGAACCACAAAAAAAAAAAGAAGCCCCCATTTGAAAAGGTTTTATAATAAATTAATTGAAGTTTCAAAGTCAAAAACACAAAATAAATTGAAACACGAAAGAATCTAAGTTTGACAAAATAAATTTAAAACCAGTAGTATTGCTAGCACATAATTTTATTACATAGAATATAACCAAAAAAAAAAATTTTAAAAAAATTAGAGTAAAAAAAAAATATATATATAATTTTACTACATAGAATATAACCAAAAAAAAAAATTTTAAAAAAATTAGAGTAAAAAAAAAATATATATATATATATATACAAAAATTCTTACAGGCCACATATGTGAAGCCCCTCCCTTCACCACCCCGTGGGGATAGTCTAGAGGGTTGGTTCATAACTACTCCTATTACAAGACCCTTATCTAGCCAACACTTTAGATTCGAAATTATTGAATTCATTAAATACTGATTCCTATATGGAAAAGTGTTTTCAGAGAGCTTTTAGTACCAAATTATGTGCAAATAATATTTCACATTGAAAACCAACACTGCTGTATGCTCACGCAGAATTTTGGTAGGCAGACGTAGAACCCACACATGCACAAAAATTGTCATATACTAATGTTAGAAATCATAAAAAAAATATCATGAAAATGATTATAAAAAAAAATTCACCCTTAAATTACATATATAATAAAAAATCACACGCTAGTCAAAAAATAAAAAAATTTCATAAAGTATTTCATGATATTTTTTCATCATCCATCATTATGCACCAAAATTTTATAACTCTCTCATAAGGTGAAACTCACACATATGCACAAAATTCTCATATGATGTGTGGCCCCACCCTCACGATTTTGTGCAAAAAATATTTCCCATGGAAAATTGTTATTTGGGTTAAAGTATTTTGATTTTAAACAACCAGTATTCCATTAAAAAAAAAAAAACTAAATCTATAGACATTGCTACATCTGGTGATTATATATATGTAGAGAGAGAAAGAGAGAGAAATTGGAACCTTGTTGAATTGAAACCATTCGTAGTAGGGAGGATCGAAGATCCCTTGGACGTCGGATTTGCCAAGGGAGGGAAAAGGGGCGTCGACGAAGACAAGATCCATCATTTCAAGCACAGATTGGGGCCATTTCTCCACCTGCTTCTTCAGAATCTCGCCGCTGGTTCGGAATCCATGCAGGCACAGAAATCTAGGTTTCGGCTTCGGCGTCTCTGTTGTTGTTGTTGTTGTTTGGTTTTGTTGCTGATCTTCTTCATTTCCCATCTTCTTTAGTTTTACCGCTTCGTTTCGAAAGCTTCTATGTCTGTTTTTTTGTCAGCTCCGCTAGTTCGGGATTCTGTTATTATGTTATTCTGTCTCGCCATATATATTTATATTGATGCGAGAGAGACAGAGACAGAGACAGAGAGAGAGAGAGAGAGAGAGAGAGAGGCTTGTTTGATTTTCTCTCCTTGTAATTTGCGAAACAACGGAAGGTTCCAAACGCGTTGTTGGCTACACGGTGTTCCAAATCTGAATTCTTTTTTTTTTTTTAAAATTACTCTGAAAAATATGTTTTGTCCCCCACTATAAAACGAAAAGGGCGTTAGGCACATGTTTCGTTTGTTTTTTTTTTTTTTGAAATTATTAGGCACGTGTTAAGAATAACGGAATGTTTTGGAAAAATAATTAAAAGTTATTTTTTAATTTTTTTTATTTTTTGTCAGAGATGAAAATGGATTAAAAGGTGAAAAGTGACTTTTAATCCAATTTCCAAAACATCCCAACAATAAAACTAGAAATTCACCTTTATTAATTCAGGAGGAAAAAAATTAATTAGTTCAAATTTATTTTATTCATAAATCTCATATTTTATCAATTTAATTTATACTATATAAACTCATTTGATACAAATTATGATTTTCTAAGGATGGGTACATAGTATTTTTTTCAAAATATACAGATAGAAGGAAAATTAATTTGAAGGATTTGATCAAAACCCTCTCATAATAAAACTTTAATATATTAAGAACAAGCACACAAAAAAAATTCTTGAAAAATCTAATACATATCATTATTATCAAAATATTAAATTTTAAAATAATATAACTTTTGATGTAGATGTTGGTTTTTAATAAAATTAGTACTTTTAGAATCCTTTCATTAAGATATATCACATAAGATCTATGTTGACTATGAAATTCTTTAAAAAAAAAATTATTCCCGTCGAAATTGATATAAACAGTAACAGTAACATGTTACTCTGTCTCACAGTAACAGATTACTCTGGTAATATTGTCTAAAAAAAAAAGAAGATATTTTACTTTGTCCTTACTCAATTATGTGTTTTCTCCTTAGGGAGTTTATGAAACAAAATAAATTAGCTTGTCTTTTTCACCGAATAAGGGTCTAATTGAGGTGTTTTGGCTAAATTTCCCAATAAATTATGATATTTTTGAAGATTTAATTTTTTCTTCACATGGACATAAGGACTCCTATTTTTATAAGACAAAAATTCTTTAATTTTTAGAATTTGTATTTTGAATTTATTTTTGAAAAATTATAAATTAGTTTGACAAAAATAAATATGAATATATATATATATATATATATATATTTGAATTTTTAAATATTATTTTATGTTCTAAAAAGATGAAAATAATTAGTATTTGATTTTTTTTTAATTGTTTTTCACCAATCTAAAATTTAATTAGTTGTAGAAAAATAATATAAAACATCAAATTTGAAAGAAAGTGAAAAGACATAGAAAAATAAGGGAGGAAAAGGGTAAAAGAGAAAAGGGTATTTTGGTCTCATTATAAATATATATAAAAAAATTAGTTAAGACAACTTTTAAAATTGTGTTATTTTCTATATAAATTGATATAATGCATTCATTTAATATGCTCTTAATATATGTCATTAGGACACGTGTTAACAAAAATCAAAAGAAAAAGTATGTTTTGTTGATTTTTCAAAAAACCATTTTTAGATGGATTTTCATTTAATTTTAGTGAACTTTTATATATTTTTATTAATTTTTTTATAATTTTTAAATGCACCTAATCAATATATATTTAAAAAGTAAAATAAATTGATTAAAATATTTTTAAAAAATATTAATTGGATATCAATAAGCACTTGATCAAATCACATTTTTAAATATAATTTTCAAAATAAATTGTGATATAAATGTGATTTGATTAAGTGGTTATCGATATTCAATCAACATGATTCTTTGCAGAAATAATGTATCGATGAATTTTACACATTAAACAGTTTAGATTATCGATATAGGCCCAAATTAGGGTCCATCAATGCCGAACAACCCTCTCTCGTAACTAGAGATGATCTAGGACCTAAATTTATGGGTTTGGTTTCTTTCAAATTAGTCATCTCAACTTAAGAGAGCATTTGGGCTTGGTAGGCCCATTTTGAGACTGATTTTGATGATCTGAACTTTTTATTTTTTAAGACTTGTTGAGTATAATGCAAAAAAATAAAGATAATTAGATATTGATAGTTTTATATTTGAATTAAATTTATATTACAAAAAATAGATGGTTATTCTTAAAATTATCTTTCATTAATATTTTTCTCAATCAGTTCTAAAAAGTAAACTATTCGAATCACTAAAATCGATCCCAAAATAAGTCTACCAAAGTGAAACGCTCTCTCGAATTGAGATAACAACTTAAATAAGCCAAACCCTAAATTTATTATGATGAACAAAATATTTATAAAAAAAAAAAATTACCCCCTCAGCTGTTTATTATTTGCCTCATTTTCCACCATTGTTTAATGGGACAAATTTGATTAGATATGGTTAAAAGAAAAACTATTAGTGTATTCCACCATTAGCTAAATATTATCTAATATGTTAATTGTGAAATAATAAAAATAATAAAAAAGATAAATAGAAAATTGCATAAAAGGGACTTTTGGTCTCATTAAGAAAAAATGTATTTATTATCAATAATATTAGGAATACATAAACTAAACATGAAATGGGCCACAACCCTCTCATAAAGAATGGATCTTGTACGCGCGTCCCACGCATGCATATGGATCTCACCCCTTGTGAGAGTGTTGTGTCTCATTTTATATTTGATTTCTGTGCACATAGATTTACTCATTTATTATACCCTAACAAAATCCAAAACTATATATACATTATGATTAGATTCTGATAACAAATTAGATCTCTCAAATATTTTTCTAAATTGAATTTTAATCTATAAACGGGTTTTGTTACTTCAGCATCACTATCATAATAAAGAAGAAAGATTATAAATATATTTTACTATAGACTAAACTTCCATTTTCTTCCATTCTTTCTATTTTAATATTATATACTTTTTATAATGGAGTTTAGCTTTTTCTAAAAATATTTTTTTATCATAAAAGTAAATGCTTTTATTTTTAAATAACGTTTCATGATTTTTTTTTTTAATTTAAATGTCCTCTATTTTAATATTTTAAGTGTCCTTTATTTTTAATCATAATTAAATTATACGATGTGAGAAAAATGAATCTAAAAATTGAAAAATAAAATAAAGGGCATATAATTTTTTATATTTGTTATAAAAATAAAGGACATATAAAAAAAAATCACAAAACTTATGTCTTTTATTTTTCTTATACCATATATATATATATATATATATTTAATTTTTTTTCTAAATCATTCAATCCAAATGCATTGTTAGAGCATCTCTAACCATTACTGCTATAATGCTATTGCCATTGCTATAATTTGGCAATGAATAGTGTTATTTTGCCAAATTATAGCAATGGTGCTCCAATGGTCATTTGCTATTTTGACAAATCTCAACCAACTTTCCCTCCAAGTTTGTAGGTGTTGTGTCGATATAGGTTTTTTTGTGATTTTATTTTTGTTTATTTTTTATCTTTTGTGACATTTTTTATACCTATTTGTTAAAAAAATTATATATTTATATTATTCCCAGCTAGACAAATATAAAAAAATGAAAAATTGGAAAAAAAAAAATTTGTTTGATTAATTCACCCCACCCAAAAACATATCACTACATATTTAATAAATTTTTTTAACTACACATAAAAAATAAACAATCACCAATTACCCACCAACAACCATCCATTATTAACTCAACATTCATTCACTCACAACTATCCACCCAACAACCATCCATTATTTATTCACTCACCCAACAACCACCTATTATTCATTGACCCACCTAACAACCATCTTTTATTCATCCACCTACCCAACAACCACCCATTATTCATCCACCCACCCAACAACCATTCATCATTCACTCACTCACAATTTTCTCTATAAATATAACATAAGATTTTCTACAATTTTCATATTCACCTACCCATCATTTTCATATCTTTAAAACTCTCTGTACCCACGAAGAAGATTTTCTAAAATTTTTATATTCACCCACTCACCCATCCAACTACAATGAACAATTTGACTAAAGCCATATTGAATGGAGATTTTGATGAATCTTTATCATCTGATGATGATATCATCATGATGCAACTATTCACAGCGCAACAACAAAGATTACAGACGTTAAGGCTAAACCAATAAACCAGACGTATTGGTTCCACAAGTGGTCGTCGATACATTAATCGTGAGAGGGTCAAAGGCGACGAACAAATTTATAGAGATTATTTTGCAGATAATCCTGTCTATCTAGAAGAATACTTCCGAAGACGTTTTCGAATGAGGCGGTCATTGTTTGTTAGTATCTTACACGATATTCAACAAGTGAATGAGTACTTCATCCAAACCCGTGATGCCACTGGTGCTCCTGGATTATCCGGTGTACAGAAGATGACTGCAGCACTTCAGATCCTCCAGTACGGCGTGCCTGCTGATGCTATAGACGAGTACATTAGAATCGAGATTGAATAGACACTTGTGTTCTGGACTGATCATTCTGAAGCAAGCAATAATTTTCGTAAATTCTCCCACAAAAATGAGCATACGATTGCAAATTGCCAACAATTGGGTCTTCCGAAATGTGACACCAAGATTTACAAATTGTCATATCTTCTTCAATGGTGAATGATTTTCCTCTCTTTGTTTTTGATAAACCTTCCATAATTATTGGATGAAAAAACTAAAAAGAAAATAATTTAAGAGGTTTGCTGTGAAATCAAATTCAAAGAAGAGAAGAGAAAAGAAAATTAAAATCTAAATGTTTGTGTGAAATAAAAGTGACATGGAGGGTTTCAATTTATAGAAATTAAAAATATTACTGTTTGGGAAGTAGCCGTTTCAAATAGCTATTGTAAAAAAGAATTAATATTTTTTTTTTTTGTAAAAAAAAAACCAAACAAAGCACAACGGCTCTCTGATACACTGAGGCATCACCGTCTACGTATACATCTAGAATGATCCACCATCA